GCTGAGTAGTTTCTACATCCTTCTCCTCTCTGTCAACACTTTCTGGTTTCATTTAAAAGAACCAATCATCAGATATTGTCCAAGATTAACCTTCAGGGTGGATATAGCTCACTCACACCGAGGACCTATCCACGTCATCATTTACCCAGAATGCTTTGTGTGTAAATAAAATGGCTCTGTCCGTGTTAAAATACATTTTAAAAAAATTACAAAACTAAACCGCCTACAGAATTTTTACCGTCTTTATTTTAGAGTTAAATATATGTTTATCAAATAAAGTCTAATGTTACAACTAATCGGGGATCCCTTTAAAAACTCTTATTTCTGTTCTCTACATTGGAAAGTTGTTTTATTCGTAGCTTACTTTTCTTGTCCTTCTACCTCCTGCCACACCCCCCATCAGACTTATCCATCACCACCTCCTGCACTTTGCAGATGAATTGAAAGTGTGGCCCTAACCTTGCTTCCTGCCCATATTTATGCACTGTCAGTTGCACATAGCGGCTAACTGTCATGCAAGTATTATTTTTCATAAACCCCTCTCGGTGCTGTTTGACATTTTTAGCACTAAGGGGAGCTCTTGCTGTAGATTTCATCTGACGTCGCCGGTCAGCGCGAGACTTCCGATGTCCTGCTGTAAATCACCTTCAGCCGTGGAGAAAATCTGAATATTTACCGTGACCTTTTAGTGTCACTTTCTGCATTTTCACATCGACGTTTGCCTAAAGCCTCACAGCTGAGGTTGTCTTTTGAAGTGATCCGGCCATACATTTTTCTGTTCCCTTCAGAGCTGAAGGCAGAGGTGGAGAAACTGCGAGCGGCCCAGATGAGCTCGCTGGGCGTCGAGCCGGACAGAGTGCGAATGTTCCAGCAGGAGATCAGCACCCTGAAGAATAAACTCTTTCAGCAAGAGAGAGAGATGCTTGAAGCCAACCGGTTAGCATCACAGAGAAAATTCAAACACTACTCATTTTTGTTTACCTTCCTTAATCCTGACATAAACATTTGGCTGTTTGTGTAAGTAACGTCTGGGTTAGTCAGACTTTAAAGTGGCTGTGCCATGCATATCCTTCAAATACAAAAAGTCAAATAAAACATCTTTATATTTAAGAAAGTTGGCATAAAACACATGATTTTACCCATTTTGTCCCATAACTGGCCTATTTCCTTTTCAACTTTAATAGTTCAGCCAAAATGAAACAGGAAGTGACATCAAAGGAGAACTCTTTAATAAAACAAACTCCCTGGTCTTTGTTTATTAAAACAAACTTATTGAAACTTTAACTCATCTTCGTCTCTCTTTGATAGAGACTCAAAATAATCTAAAGAAACATCAGATTCTTCTCTACGGTCTGTATTGCCAGCTGTTGTAACAACGCTCTGTTTACATGCCGACGTTCCCCTTTGACATCACTTCCTGTTACTTTACGTTCAAATATCTCAACAACTGTTCATTTCAGAGGCGTGACATTTCTTTTGCAATATACTATCAATGTTATCGTACCAAAAATGCATTCATATTTATTAGAAAAAATGGATGTCACAGGCACTTTAATGGATCTGGTTAAAATGCATCTGAAAATTTCAGTTCAATTCAAAAATTTATTCATTTCATTAAAAAAATAACTATATACAATAGAAAACCAAGAAAAAACACAAATTAAAATAAAATGAAAGGTACCAGAAGAAGATTAAATCTTTTTATGTCTGCCCCTTTTATCCTCAGAATGTATTCAAATTTACTTAACAATACTAAATGAAAAAAATAATAAAAAAAATAAACTGAAAAGGAAATCATATAACTTTTTTTGACAGGGCATGGAGAGAAAAACTTGAGCAAGCAGAAATCCGTAAACGTGAAGAGACCAAAGAGCTGCAGGTATTTTTCACCCTGCTTTTTTATTCATTTTTACACAACTGTGTTGATTTATTTATGTTTTTGACTCTGAACTTAAAACTGCGTTGCAATATAGAAACAAGAGAGGAAACCCCTAAAGATTTCTCTCTTTCTGTCTAATCAGAAAGCAGGTGTGACGTTCAAAGTGGACAACCGTCTTCCCAACTTGGTGAACCTGAACGAGGACCCCCAGCTGTCCGAGATGCTTCTCTACATGATCAAAGAGGGCAGGACCACAGTGGGCAAGCTCAAAGCGGGCTCCAGTTACGACATCCAGCTCACAGGAGCTCTCATCGCCGACCAGCACTGGTGAGAATAAAACCCCAGCTGGCTGTGAAAACTACCTTTAGCTGAATAAAGATTATATTAAAAATGATGCTATTTCCCTTCTTTTAAAGTGTCATATCCAACATCCACAATACTGTCAGCATCACTCCCATGGACAATGCCAAGACATTTGTGAATGGGAACCTCATCTCTGAATCCACTGTCTTACATCATGTGAGTAATTCGAAGCTTTAGTTGCTTTTTATTGTTTAACTGATGTTGGTTATCATGTACGACACGACGCCGTCCGCTCAAACGTATTCATAAATCAGTTTCACGTCTTCTCTGACTGTTTGCGTGGCGTCCAGGGGGACAGGGTGATCCTCGGCGGGGATCACTACTTCCGTTTCAATCATCCGGCCGAGGTGCAGTCTGGAAAGCGCGTGTCGTGCTGGACAAGTGCAGGCGAGGGGCAGAAAGATTTTGAGTTTGCCAAAAATGAGCTACTGGCCGCTCAAAGAGCAAAGTAAGTATTTTAAGCGAGGATTAATGCTAATATCACACCGCCAGGACTCGCAGTCCTTTTTATTTGAAAATTTGGTTTGAATGTTCTTGATTTTAATAAATAAATTCGAAACAATTTTTACTGTGCTTCTCAGACTCGAGGCTGAAATCGAGGAAGCCCACTTAAAGGCACAAGAGGAAATGATGCAGGGAATTCAAATGGCAAAAGAAGTGGCTCAGAAAGAGCTTTCTGACCAGAAAGTTCTTTATGAAAACAGGATTCGAGCCCTGGAGAAGGAATTGGTACAGTTGAACCTATTTGTTTTTTTTTTTTTTTAGAAAAAAAAAATCCATATTTATATTTTACATTTTAATTTTCTTAATGCCTGACCTGGTGTTTAGTTCTGTGGGTAATTTACTTAAGTTGCGGCCAGTAGAGGTCAGTATACTACCAGACTTTAGATTAAGGGGGAAAAAAGGCACTTTAGTTGAGTTTTATTACGTTTTATTAAATCTATGTATACTTAATTGGCTGATTACAGGACCATCAAATGACGTGGACTTCTGGATATCCTCACTCCTGCACATTTTCATGTCTGCCATCAGTTCTGGTATAAACGTGTAATTCTTTTCAGACTGAGGAAAGCGAGCGGAAGCATCAGCAGGAATTAGTCCAGCAGAGGGTGGCCAACCAGATGGAGGAGCTCAAACTGGCCAAGCTGGAACTGCAGAAGGAGGTGGACACCCATAAGACACGCCTCCGTCTACACATGGAAACACAGGTCAGGACCCAGAATATTAATGTAGTAAGACTGTACTCTGCCTTTGTAAAATATTAGACACACTTGTTTTAGTTCTGACGATAAAGTAATTGACCATGTTCATGCACAGGTAGTATAATTAAAAATATAGCTTTTATTAGGAAATTCAAAGTTATAATTATTGCAATGGTAAAGCTACATAATGTTTTTTGTGAGTAATTTGTTTGGATTAGAATAATACAGCAAGACAATAAAAAAAGAATAAATTTGTTGGGTTATTTTACTCTGGATTGTTTGACATCTGTATACATTCTGGGATCTATTCTGAAAATTGTAGCTAATCTTTCCATCAGCTTGCTCCCTTCTTTTGTCACTAATGGCACCATGTAACAGTCTGGTGATTTCTGTTTATAAAACCCAAACTTTAGTGAACTACATATGCTGACTCCTGGTTTTGTGTTTAACCAAGGATTCCCATGAGAAGACATGTAATAGCTAGGATTATCGCTAAATGTTGCGGCCTGGTGGGTTTTTAAAATTGTTTATGTTGCTATGACTCAACGTAGGCTATGGAGGAACATCGAGTTTGCCAAGCAAAGATTGTTGAGGCCCTCGAGGCAGAAAAAAGGAAGATCGCCGTGGAGCTGGAGGAGATGCAGAAAAAAAGGGCTTTAAGGGAGAACAAAACGCTCCTAAATGGTGAGGGTTTCTTTAAGTTCCTAAGCTGCCTACGCCTCGTGTTACAACATGTCTTCATTTGTATGCAAGGCTGAATATACAGATTTTTAGTTGTAATCTGACTCAGTTTTTTTTAATGTACCTTGCTGTTGGAAATAAAGGAGGTTGGAAATACCCTTCATCTGTTAGTTCATTCAATTCTTCTTGTGAGCTGGATACCTTGAAAAATAAGCGAGGTATCAACTTCTATTTTAGCATAATAATTAGTGGGAAGGACATTAATTTCTTGAATCAATAACCACAACTGGTAAAATTAGCAGTACATTCATTATGCAAAACTGACTTAGCTTTATATCATGTTAAAATGTTATTCCCCTCATCAAGCACACACCCATAGCGTTGTTTTGACTCATTTGTGCATGTTTGAGAAATCTTTGTATCTCTTGTGGTAACCATGTGAAGCTGCTTAAATGCCTGCTGGTTCAAAGCACCACCTATTTATACAAGGCACCCTCTATTTGTAACATGCACCTCCCTGAAGCTCAGTCCCCAGCCGAGCTCCGCCCCACAGAGCACCCCTCCCCTGAAGCATTGTTGTGAAGACGTGCTGAAGTGGGAGTGTCAGAAACGGTAGGAGTTTCTTAAAAAGACAGAGGCTGATTTCAAGGTGTTTAGACACCCCCCCTCCCCCTTAAAAGAGGAAATTACTAAAGTAATGTACAGTCAAATGCTCCTAATGCATATTGCTATAATGTTTTAATTCTATGTTTCAGCCTCTCCTCAGTGGGATGCCATGAAGCTGTCACTGATGATTGAAGAGGCCAATAAAATCAGTGTTAAACTGAAGAAACACACAATCTTCAGCAGGTGAGATAGACAAATGGTTTCCATGTGATTATTGTTTGTGAAACAGCTTCCAAATTCAACAAATCTGCTGAAGTTTTATGTGGATTTTATGAATTATTTACATAGTGGATTCATGTTTTCATCAAAACCTATCACTATCTGGGCTTTTTTTCCCCTTAGCAAATGTACTGTATATGTTTAGAGAGATTAGCCAACTTTCATGTACTTTTCCTCTGTTTCAGACATGAAAACTCAATCGGTGAGAACCCTGATTGTGCTGATCGGCAGGTGCGAGTTCAAAACACAAAGCTAGGAATCACCACGTTCTGGAACCTGGACAAGTTCCAGAACAACATGGTGGCCATGAGGGAGCTCGAACAGGTTTGGCTTTAATCCATTTAGATTTCTAGAGTTTTGATGACAACATGTTTTTGTTTGGATTAGCAGCTGAGATGTAAAGTCAGACATACACTGCCTGGCCAAAAAAAAAAGTCTCCTCCTGGATTTAATTAAATGCCATGATCTAGGGTTACTGCAGTTGATCAGGCCTAGGTTCAGCTCAAAGAATGAGGTCAGCTGACTACCTGAATATACTGAATGACCAGATTATTCCATCAATTGATTTTTTTCCTCCCTGATGGGATGGRCATATTCCAAAATGACAATGTCAGGATTCATGAGGCTGGAGTTGTGAGAGTGGTTCAGGGAGCATGAGACATCATCTTGACACATGGATTGGCTCCACAGAGTCCACTGAGAATCTTTGGGATGTGCTGGAGAAGGCTTTGTTCACTGGTCAGACTCTATCATCATCAATGCAAGATCTTGGTAAAAAAATTAATGCAACACTTGATGGAAATACATCTTGTGACAYTGCAGAAGCTTATCGAAACAATGTCACAGCAAATGTAATCAAAGCTAAAGGTGGTCCAACGAAATATTAGTGTGACCTTTTTTTTGGCCAGGCAGTGTAAATAATCCATGCAATGAAGTGTTTTAGCTGTCAGAAATGTTGTATTTAGGTTTGTTTGGCTTTATTGGACTCTATCTCTTAAGAATAAGAATACACATCGTAATCCGACGATGCTTATGTTTTAAAAAATATCAGTGTTATATCTTATAATCTCCTATCATAGCTTAAAAAATGTATAAAAAGCTGTGCAAAGCTTTGATTTTTCCTGTGTTCTAATATGATAAAACATGTTTGTTGAGTAAAACACATGCAGACAGCTCCTTCCTCATTCTGCATGTTCACAAACTGACATCACCTCCACTTAATTGCCAATTTCCCTGCCGTTTTGACCTTATTTACAATCCTGAATAGCTTGTTTTACGCCTGACAGAGGAACGCTGCCTCACTTTTCKCATTAAGTTGAGTAAGTGCGACTGGGTCTGTCAGCAGTGCTTTACTCTCCGCAGGGGGATTCCACCTCTAAAGATGACGATGTGTTTTATGACCCTGATGATGAGTGGGAGCAAGATATATCAGCCTCCTCTGCTTCCACCYCCTCCTTTTCTCGCCGAAGGTAATTATCGAGCTCCTCTTCCTATCCTGCAGCCCCCATTTTAGCATCTTTTAATTTACAGCTTTTCAAAACTTTCAGGAATCAGTTGGTGTTGCTGTTCAGTTAAATGGTTGGACGGATAATTGTCCATTAGGACAGTCTGTCTTAAAATAGCCATGTTACCATCCGAACAGTGTTTCTGTCAAAGCCCACTTTTAGTTTGCACAATGTGTTAACAAAAAGACGTGTTTGGAAAATGAAATTGGTATGTAAATGGAAAAGATACAGCTTTGAAGAAGTTGGTTATTTTCACAAGTTCCTCCCAGTTTCCCACAGTGCAATTTACAACCTGGCACATATCTGCGCCTTGGAGCCAATCCGCTTTTCTTTCATGGAATTGCTGCCCAGTGAATATTTTCCACCTTGTTTATTCATTTGGTGTCCACAAAAGGCAAGGCAGGACRTTTGGAAAAGGAATGAAGTTCACAGCTCATAAATGAAACGTACACACGCACGCACGCACACACCTGTTGTAAATGCATAATCCTTAACTTTTTCCTCTCACACCATTGTTGTTTTTGGTAAGAGCTCCTGCTGTTGCCCAAATCACCACCAGRCCCAGCCAATCAAAACATGGCACAGAGTCTGTGGGCTTGTCACACTTTTCTCTCTGATTTCATTAAAACCCTACATACTGTACTGGATGTACCTCTTGGCTAAAGTCATTGCTGTCTACTCACCTCTTGGTTTGCTTCTGTTAAACTATCTGCTTCTCTCTTTTTACTGTCTAATGTAAACTAAAACACTTAAAATCAAATTACCCTCACTAAAGCCTGTTGAAGATTTAAACAGAGTAAATGCACTTTGTGACTGTCAGCGCTCCCATTACAGCAACGGAGGTGTATAAATTATTGCAGATGGACTCTATTCAGAGCTAAAAAGAAAAAGAACTTGCCATACAGAGAAAGGGAGAAAATAAAGAATTGGGCCCGTATTTATAAGACTTCTTAGAATTACTCTTAAGAATACCGCTAAGAGTGGACTTAAGTGTAAAAAAATTCTTAGTTAAAAGCTGAGAGTAAAAGTCAGTTATCAAGCRTCTCAGTCTCACTTTAAGTGAAGTGTAGGAGTAATTCTTAAGTGTCAGTCTTAGAGCTGATTTGCGACACCTGGCTGTGCCGCAAAGCTAATTCTGGATGACGTCGTTAGAAAAAAAAAACCCTGGCATGGACCAATCACTGCCTCGGATTTCATGTTCAAGAATATTGTCGGAGAAATGTCAAGATAAGACTGTGAAAATGCTAAGATAAGTTCACTTTCAACACACTAATGTTGTCACCTTGTTCTGATTGTCTGTAAATTACATAAAAAGTCCTCATTTGTATCATGAGAACAGTTTTTATAATCAAAACTCAGCAGCTTTAAAGTTTTTTTGTCTCAGAGCCTGACCCTCCTCCTCTTTTCCACTGTCAGACAACACCGGCTTCACACACACATCATGCACGCACACAACCCTGCTCCGTCATTAACAGCTTGGTCCGAGAGGACCCTGCTCCTTCATTGTATTGTGTGATAATATAATAAATGAAAGTTCAATCCCACCATAATTTTTATTTCTTGGGGGAGTCGCAACATGCACTCACCAGCTGAGTATATTTAATATTTTATCCAAAAGCCACACACAAATATCTGCCTTTTAGTCCAACATTATGYGCAGTTTTAATTAAAAAAAATTAAAACTTTTTTTTTCTTTTTGATTAAACCTGTTTTCCACATCTTATAACTGAGAATACACTCAGGTGGGGAGGAGGTCAGCTGTGTTTTCTGTGTGATCTCTGTCCTCTCAGTCCATCTCAGACCCCTAGTGACAACTCTTAACCACTTAAGAGTCCTCTGGAGCATTCATAACTTTTCGGGAGAGTAAGAGTGATTCTTAGACTTAAGAATTTTGATAACTGGCACTTAAGTGCTGAAAATTTCTTAGATTTGCTCCTACTCTCAGACTTAAGTCTAAAAATCCACCCTAAGAAGTTTGATAAATATGGGCCCTGTTCAACTTGAGCTCCATTTACACTGAAAATCTAAGAGCATTTTATATTTAAGAAGCCTATGAACATGATTTTAAAGTTTCTGATTGGTTGGACTTCAGGAGTAGGAGTCTTCTGAAGAGTAAGAGAATCTCTGGGCGTCTTTATGAGATTCGTGTCCATCCAATTCAGAGCCTCAGCACTTCGTCACAGACTGCTGGTAAGGAAGTTTGGACAAATGGCTTTTTTTAGTGTATTTTTGCCACATAATCAAGTGAAACATTTCCACACCGACTCACTCTAGGGTTGATGGGCGTGGTCAAAGCTCCCACCACCCATTCCGGCACCTCAAACCCCGCCATACCTGGCATCTGCAAGGAGCTAATTGGTCAATCAGTGGGTCGTTTGCGTGGCTGCGGTGGGACCGAAGAGAGCTTGGCAGATAGGCTGACCTCTGATCTGTGTCGGGTGCAAAAGGCTGTTCAAACCATATCTGACCTGTACGACGGCCTGGACGATGAGAGTCAGGACAACGGTGAGTTTTAATTGACGAGGCTAACAGTAGGATAGCATTTTCTTTTATTACATTTACCTTACTCTTTAACACAACACTGTTTTCTTTTCTTCTGCAGTGTTTGTATGCAAGTCTGTAGCTCAAACAGAGTTGGTCAAGGCCACAGCAGCCATAGAGAGCGCAGTGTTTGTTACCATGCACTGGTTGGCCAATGTCAAACCCTCTTCTGGTTTGCTCTACACCACTGCTGAAGAACTCAAGAGCCAAGTTAAGAAGATTGGAGGATTCTTCCAAATACTTATTCAGGTAAACACACAAACACACACACACACAAATCACCAGAAAATAAAAGCCCTGCAGTGACTTGACACTGGAGTTTCTTGGCAATTTCTGTTTATTTAGAAGCAGGAAAGAGTGCAAAATCTAAGCAGACAAAATGGTTACAATTAGGCGTAGTTTGGAGATGGGCCGGCTCATCAAAATGCAGAGTTGATTGACAGGTCTTAGCTCTGAGCTGTTTGCGGCCTGTCTGTGAAGCTGAGGGAATTCTCAACCTTGAGCCCCTCGAAGAACATGAATATATGGAAAGAAAATCTAAATTCCTTCCAAGTCCTCCGCACCTAAACAGGCAATTTTCACCTCTCAATCTTGATTTTTAATGTTTTCCACCATTTTAATTTATTTACTAAGCCTTCGGATGCTGCAGACTCTTGTGTTGGTTTGCATTGATTCACTAATAAATCGATTTCAATTCTACCTGTTTGTTTATGCTGACTTGATGTAAAAAATATATTCTTTTTCTTTTTTTTTCCTGATCCAGGGTTGCGAATCCGAGATCACATCAATGGTGGTAGAAGCACGAAGGAAGAGCAGTCAGTGCCTGACTGCTGCTTTGCTTGAACTTGGTCACCTGGCAGTGGTGACCGGCATGCCTCTGAACATCATGGAGCTTAGCTCTCAGCCCACGGGCAAGGTAACCCTTACACTTACTTCGCCTACTATTTCTGTTAAAGCTCTGCGCTCAAGCCCCTGCAGCAAATTCTGGTAGGTTCAGCTTTTGAAAAAGGGATGTGACGAGTATATTTGTGCCAATAACCCAGCACTAGTTTGTATACTGTGCTCTCTCAACCGAAATATCTTATCTAGCTCTGTCTTTTCAGCCATCAGTGATGACTTGTCTGCTGAAGGGAACCAGTCAAGGTGTCCGCTCTCTCTTAGAGGAGAGCCTCGCCATCGCCAAGGGAATGCTGAGAGAGGCTCAGCTGGCCTATCCCAGAAACCCAGTAAGAAATACAGTATATTTGTTGAAAATATTCCAACTTCTTATAGTTTTTAGCAGGATTTCTTTTTCATCTTGTCACAAAATTCATCTTAAGCAGTTTATGAATCAACTTTTAGTAAATCTGAAGCCTCTCATCTCTGCTTTCAGGTCCTGCAGAATTTAAAATCAACAGTTCTCGATCTAGCTCGTGTCCTGCAGAGCTACGTGCAGTGCCACATTTTGGTGAGTTTTAGTAACTTATTTTTAGTCAACTATGTGAGCCTCAAACTACCAATAGGTCTGTCACAATAACAAATTTTGCTGGATGATAAATGGTCAAGAAAATTATCGTGATAAATGATGATACTGTTTGGAGACCATTTAAACTAAAACAATTATACCACCCACCCAACACCTGCATACAAAGCTTACAGAAGTTTATAAAATATACATATGTTAAAAAAAAGGTTAMAAACTGATCTGGGGCCTCATTTTTAAAAGAAACCATACTAAAAGTGAACGTACGGCCAAAAGGTGAAAATGGCGTACGCCAARAAAAAAAAATCAGATTTATAAAACCGTGCGTACGCATGTTCCTGCACCTTTCCTTTATAGATCACAGCCACACCTCAGAGTTTGTGCACAAGGTCCCGCCTCAGGTTCTGCCCTCTACATGCCCACACTCAACCATAAACAGTCAATGAATGTTCATGAATGTTAAGGTGTATTTAAATCAGTCAGCTGGTCAATGTCAAAAAAAGCGATTGGCTCAGATACGCGCTGTCGTGCGTCGGGAGGACAGGTGCTGACAGCTGCTCACGTGAACAGATTGTAATTTAAACAGATTTTCTCTCATTTTGCAGGTTTACAGACGTTTAGAGTAAGCTAACGATTTTTTCTAAATCTCAGCTTCAAATTTATTTTATCGTGCAGGATGATAAAAACAATAAATAAAATTAAATAAGTCATGTAAAGTTAGATATAAGTTCACCACTCTTCTCCCCCGTCCTCCCACTCCTGCCTGCTCTGTTACCTGCCGCTGATCATCTCCTCACAAGCCCGCACCCGCAAAAAAAAAACAAAAAAAAAAACACACACACCCATCCCCCACCCCCGCGTGTGTGAGAAATACGGACTTTAAAAAGTGAAGCTTTTATAACACATCCACACTGGCGAGGGCGCTCGCACCCAAAGCGTGACTTTAACCAAGCTTTTTGCTGTCGTGCTGTTGAAATGTCTCTTGTGGAGGGGTCTGTGGGTCAGGGTCGTGAGGAGGAGGGAGATGAATGAAGATGTGTGAACTTTTATTTAAGATTTAAGTTTTTTATTTTAAATGTCCTTGTGGCTCTGCAGCAGAATTATAAATAATACTGTTCAGAAGGCTAAAGTCGATCTAAAATCTAAGTCTGATTATGAAATGAAATGAAATATCTGTGATACACAGTGTGGCTATAGTTCCTCATTTCACCATCTGTGTCGCAGCTTCCTGTCTCCAAAATGAGCATACACATGGGTCAAATAAAAAGTGAGGGGCCGCACATTTTCATGCTAAGTCTGAGTTTTTTAAATCACATCCTTGGCGTGAAAAGTGGTGTACGCAAGTTTCTGGGCTTGTTTTGTGCGTATGCAAGCTTTATAAATCTGACCCCAGGACTGGAGATTGGGAAAACAGCACAGAACAACAGCTGTTGAAGCTGCAACATCGCTTCCTACCTCCTCTATCTGAGCCAGCATAATTTATTATGACCCCCGCATGCGAAGCGTAAGCAGGACTCGTATTGTTTTCATACTGTTTTTTTTCCTCAGTGATTTTTAGTCAACCGTAGCACAAAAACGGCTGCATCAATCAACATGAAATTTGGCAGGGCTGTAGATGAATCTGACCTTCACTGCGCCAGCCAACGGTTTTACAATAGACACCATATTTGAGGAGGGGGGTCCTTTCAAAGAAGGGGTGTCAGGT